GAGAAAGGTGAACTGAGAAGGAGCAAAGTGGGTGCAACCCTTTCTCAACAGCTTCTCTGTCACAGTGATTACAAGGGTCTTCAGGGTGAGAGAGAGATGAGAATGTTGACTTCATGTTCAGAAGGCTTGATTTATTATTTTATGATATATATATATAACATTATGACTATACTAAAAAGAAATAGAAGGAAAGTTCTCAGAAGGCTAGCTAAGCTAAGAATAGAAAAGGAATGAATAACAAAGATCTGTGTCTCAGCAGAGAGTGAGACGCAGCTCTGCCGTGAGTGGTCAGTAAATCCAAACATCCACCCGAGACCAATCACAGATGCACCTGTTCCATTCCACAGCAGCAGATAACCATTGTTTACACTTTGTTGCTGAAACCTCTCAGCTTCAGCAGGAAAAATCCTAACGAGAGGATTTTAATGAAAAGATGTCTGTGACACTTCTCCTCCCAGGGCTCCCCAGGGAACGGTCCCAGCCCCAAGAGCTCCCAGGAGCATTTGGACACTGCTCCCAGGAATGCCCAGGGTGGGATGTTGGGGTGTCTGTGCAGGGACAGGAGCTGGGCTCAGCGATCCTGGTGGATCCTTCCAGCTCAGGGATTGTGTGATTCCATGGAAGTCACATCTTCTATGGCACAGACTGAAGCACTGAGACCCCTGAGGCACCATGGCTTGGTCTGGAGTACCTGGGAAAACTGCACCATGTCAGAGCTGGGAAACCCCCAGGCCCAGCCCAAAGCACCTCTGGGAACTCCTGCCCTGCTCCAGCTGGGCCAGCGCCCTGAGCCTGCTCTGGACCTGCAGCTCTGAGCCCTTTGTGGGAGCTGCAGCCCAGCACCACTGGCCTAAAGGAGAGGCAGCCCTGCCCTGGGTGCAGCTGCAGCCCTGGACTGCCCCAGCTCCAGGAGCAGAGCTCCGAGCTCCTCCACAGCTACATCTGTGCTGCTGAGAGCCCGGGGCTGAGCTCCCAGCTGGCTCCGTTCCCTCCAAACAGATGCAGCTCCTAGAGCAGGGCCTGATTTATTCAGCAGGAGTCTCGCACATTAAGTGTAGTTAAGTCTGAAAACAAATCTAATGACTTTAAAATAAATAGCCAACAGAGGACTCCAAACTGAAATTCCTCCTTCCTCTGACACCCGCCATATAAACAATAATAATTATATAAAACCGTGTCTAACACATGACTACACAAGGCTCTGGTGACCAAGAAAAGCACACGCTGCTTGTCAGACATAATTGCACATTTGGTTTTTCAATTATTTCTTGTCAGGATCCAGAGCCCACCATCTGAACGCTGACATTAATTATTGGGAAGTTGTTAGTGCTCCAATAGTCCTATGGAGACTCCCAGTGCTCACCCTGAGCCCAGAGCTGCCAGCGCTGCTTCCACACTGCCCTCCTGTCCCATCCCACCAACCCTGGGACTGTCACACACCACACAGGACACCCACCCTGTGCACAAGGGGCTTCAGAAGAAGCTTAAAGCAAGTCTCCAGTGGACATCAGCAAGGAACTGATCCCTGCCATGTGCTCACCCACAGGATGGGACCAGACCATGTCCAGCACTGGGGCCTCCAACACAAGACCTGGAGCTGCTGGATGAGTCCAGAGGAGGCCATGGAACTGCCCTAGGGCTGGACCCCTCTGCTCTGGAGCCAGGCTGGGAGAGCTGGGGGTGCTCACCTGGAGAGGAGAAGCTCCAGGGAGAGCTCAGAGCCCCTGCCAGGGCCTGAAGGGGCTCCAGGAGAGCTGCAGAGGGACTGGGGACAAGGGATGGAGGGACAGGACACAGGGAATGGCTCCCAGTGCCAGAGGGCAGGGCTGGATGGGATATTGGGAATTGGGAATTGTTCCCTGGCAGGGTGGGCAGGCCCTGGCACAGGGTGCCCAGAGCAGCTGTGGCTGCCCCTGGATCCCTGGCAGTGCCCAAGGCCAGGCTGGGCAGGGCTGGGAGCAGCCTGGGACAGTGGGAGGTGTCCCTGCCATGGCAGGGGTGGCACTGGATGATCCCTAAGGTCCCTCCTAACCCAAAACAGTGTGGGATCCTGTGAATCCAGCCCCTGTCACCGTGTTCCTGCTGAGTCCCCTCCCAGCCCCTCTGAGCAGCTCCTGCCATCACACTCCCATCACATTGCTGCCCATCATGCAGGAAAACATCCTGCCTTTTACTGGCTTTTAATTTGCTGCTTTTTAATTTTGTTGACTGTCTCTTTTTTCCTTGCAAAAGGAAGAAAGAAGCCTCTGATCTACCTTTTCTGGAGTGTTCAAAAACACGCACAGCTTTGTCAGGTTGTCTCTTAGTTGTCATCTTCCCCAAGGCAAGCAGCCATCTCTCTTCTGGCTGCCTTCAAGGAAGAGGGCTTTTTGTGCTCCTAAGAATTCTCTTCACCTTTTAAAATCTCCCATTGCTGAGCACTCAGTGAGGGGCAGCAAGCACACAGGAGTCAATGGGGGAGGAGAACAGGGAGTGCTCTCTGCCACCAGGAGCTGCCAGCTGCACACCCTGGCCCCTGCTCTTCCAAAGGCAGCAACAGGCCTGGGGCTGGGGGTGGGGGGAGCACAAACCCCTGGGCCTCCAGAGCTTCCAGGCTTTGCTTGAAACAGAATAAAATCAATTCACTGCAGTAAAAAAAGAAAAATTGGATTGACCCAATATCACAGTCATCACCTTAGACTAAGCCTGCTACTGTGAGAAAAAAATATTGCAGGAAGATAAAATCCAGGAAACTTATATTATATTATATTAATTACATTATACTATATTATATTATACAATATTCTATTATACAATATTATTTTTGCTTGTATTTTTACTGATACAAATTAATTGCTAAAAGCTTCCTCGATAGTTTGCAATTAGTGAGGGTTTCAAGCAGCAATGGCTTTGAGAAACATCCATCTTGTGTCTCCATCCACTGATGACCTCACAGATTGAGTCAGAGCCACATTTCCACCTTCAACCACTGACACAGCTTTCTTGAAATATTACATTTTGATTCTGTTTTATTATTTTTAAATGGACTTGGTCATTCTCCATTCTTTCACCACGTTTTGTTCAGTCAGGTAGATGATAAAGTGGGTTTTGTTTCCCCTTTTCTACAAGGAAAAAAGCAACAGCCAGCCTCACACTCCTCTGGACACACAAAGGAACAGGGAGGGAAGTTCTCCCACCTTGCTTGGAGCTCCATCCCTGCCCTGGAAAGGGCCACTGCTCACTCCTGGGAGGATGGTTCAGCCCCAAAGGCAGCCCAGGCAGGTGGGATGGACACCCCAAAGGTGACATGGACACCCCAAAGGTAACATGGAAACTCCAGAGGTGACATGAACACCCCAAAGGTGAGATGGACGCTTCAGAGGTGAGATCGACACTCAGAGGTGACATGGACACCTCAAAGGTACAATGGACACTCCAAAGGTGACATGAACACCCCAAAGATGAGATGGACGCTTCAGAGGTGACATGGACACCCAAAAGGTGACATGGGCCCTCCAAAGGTGAGATGGATACTCCACAGCTGACATGGGCCCTCCAAAGATGAGATGGACACCCCAAAGGTGAGATGGACACTCCAGAGGTGACATGGATACTCTAAAAGTGAAATGGACAGTTCAAAGGTGACATGGGCACCGCAAAGATGAGATGGATGCCCCAAAGATGAGATGGACACCCCAAAGATGAGATGGATGCCCCAAAGGTGACATGGACACCCCAAAGGTGACAAGGACACTCCAAAGGTGAGATGGATACCCCAAAGCTGACATGGGCCCTCCAAAGATGAGATGGACACTCCAAAGGTGAGATGGACACTCCAGAGGTGACATGGGCACCCCAAAGATGAGATGGATACCCCAGAGATGAGATGGATGCCCCAAAGATGAGATGGATGCCCCAAAGGTGACATGGACACCCCAAAGGTGAGATGGACACTCCAAAGGCCAGCTCCCACATGGAGGATGCACTTGCCCACCTGCTGTGGGAAACCCTCCAGTGAGAGCTGCAAAACTGAATTAAAGGTTGGAATAAAGAATCCAGGGGAAGGAAGTGATGCCTGGCTCCTCTCCCCTTGCTCCTCAGCTTGTGCTTTCTTTCCAGGACTTCCTTCAGGCTGATTCCCAGTGAGCCAGCACTGCTGGGCCACAGGTGAGCCACCCCCAAAGTGAGACAGAGAAGTCTCCTGTGACAGACACCCAGTGTTCCTCTCCCAGCTCAGGGGCACCCCAGATGTGTTCAATGCCAAGCAGTGCCAACTGGACAAAAAGCTGCTAGGAATGAGGGGATTTTGTCCTGAAATGCCATTGGCAGAGCTGGGGCACTGGGCAGGGACCAGCCAGCCCAGTGGGACCATCAGACCCAGCAGGGGCTGCACGGTCAGCCGGGGGAGGCAGGGAGGACATCAGCACCACAGCGGTTCCCAGATCTCTCTGGATGTGCTTTTACACAGCAGGATCAGTTTTATCTAAGGAATGAAACTTTCACAGGGCTTTCAAGGCCCTGGAGGGACAGGAGGAGTCCCCATCCCTGGGTGTGTTTAACAGAGCCTGGATGTGGCACTGGGTGCCAGGGTTGAGCTGAGGGGTTGGGGCTGGGATGGAGTTGATCATCCTGAGGGTCTCTTCCAATCCAGTGATTCTGTGAGGCCACAGCCCAGGGCAGACCCACCTCAGTGCGTCCCTCTCCAGAGTGGGAGCAGCAGAGACACCTCTCAGTGGGATCACAGGGGAAGGGGGTGGTGGGACACCTCTGTCCTCTCCTTCTGAAGGACAGAAGGGTCTGCATGGCCCAAGGGGGCACTCACCTGGAACTCCCCACAGCACACACAAACCATCTCTGCTTTCAGTCCCCAGTGCCAGGATGAGGCCAGCCTCCCACATCATCCTTCCAGCCATATCCAGAGAGGGCTGCATGGACACAGCTCTGACACTCATCCCACCTTTGGCCACCCCATCTCCAGGGTGGAGAGCACAACTGACCCACCCAGCACACCCCAGCCCTACCTGCTGGAAGAGCTCCTCCGCCCGCTGCTGTTGCTCTCCTCGGCCTAGGAGATGAAAACAGAAGAGCTGGTTAGGTTCAGAAGGATGAGGCTGCTCTCCAGCCCAAACCTGGGGTACCCCAGAGCTGCACACACGCCCCAGGCCCAGCTCTGAGCAGGCTCGGAGCCTCCCCAGCCCATCCCCACCAAGTCTCCAGCAGTGACCCCTGGCATGCAGAGCCAGGTAGGAGACCAGGAATGGCCAAATTGTCCCAAAGCCCACGCAGGAACGGCCCCTCCAGGCCCAACAGCTCCCCTCGTTAGCCCTGTGCCCTAATTAGCCCCTGCAGGCCCTGACAGGGCTGAGCAGGGAGGGCCCAGGGTCTCCTCTTGCTCCTTCCCCAGCTCACTGATGAGAGCCTTCCTTGGAAAGACAATATTATTCCAATCCCAGAAATTTTATTTCTGAATTTGTGCAAATACAAGTTAAAAGATATTAGCTGCATTTCACATTTTGTGCAAATGGCAGAAACAGGCAATTCATGTGCAGCAGGATGGGGGCCAGCCAACGATTTCGATAAAATAAACCCTTTTTTAATTTAAATGCTAATGCACTGAATTAAAATTTAATAACTGAGGAAATTGAAAAGCCGAGCAGGAATATTGGAAATAAATCCAAGCAGAAACAGCTGAAATTAAAAATTCTAGAGAGTGGGAGGATAGCAGCTAAGCTGTCTTATATGATTACATTTTTTTTATATTTTTTTTTTTTCAGAACGAAGGGGGGAAGGAAAAAAATCCTATCTTTGGCTGGCTGTAGGGCAGTAAATCGAGAGTGCTGTGATTTATTGCTCAATTTTCCTGAGGGAAAAAGGCTTTCTTTCATGCTGAAATATTTCATAAATTTCAAGCCAGCATAAATTCTTAATTTAAAAGTTATGGAGGTCACATTTAGTGCACTGGTGCAATTCTGAAATCTTAAAGGAATAGCAACCAAAAAAAATTGCAATTTGGTTTTATTTTTTTTAATTCTTCATGTAAAATTTTCTTCAAAGGGATTGTCCAAGTTACACAAAGCAGAAACACAACCTGGTTTCTGAAGGGATATAAAATCCACTGGAAATGAAGAGATAAAAATCTAATTCAATTACAAAAAGGTATTTTGTTATGATGATTATGATGATGATGATGATTATTATTATTATTGCGAGCCACTTGAGGAATTTCTGTTAAAAAATTTCTTCTCTCCATTGCCTGGGAAAAGCCAGAAGGGAGGAGCTGACAATGTAATTGCTTCTGTTAGATCTCCAATCTTTTGTGAGCACTGATATGTTCATTTGTTATACAGCTGTTCCGCTACAGAAAGGATGTCAGAGCACCCATAATTCAAAGCAATCAATCAAAAATTAATGATTTGTCATGCTTACACAATGGGAAAAAAAGGAAAAAAAAAAGCTTTATGGGTTCCTGCAACTGGTAGATTGCTCAAACCTTTGGGGCATTTTCTAGAAGATTAGATCTGCGTACAAGGAAAAGGGGGAAAAAGGGGAAAAAGGAGATTTAATATAGAGCCAGGGCAGAAACCCTGCTGGGGTGCTGGGGATCCCAGAGATGGGAATCTCACAATTCCTGCCTGTAGAAAGGGGGTTGTGCACAACCCAACCTCACACAAGCCAAGAGACACATCTTGGATCACAGGGACCTTTTGAGGCTCCTGCCATGAGAATTCCATGGGAAAAGCACCTGCTGAATTATGCAACCATGGAATATCCAGAGCTGGAACGATATTCTGAGCCATGAGGATGATGGAACCCAGCCCTGGCCCTGCACAGACATCCCAACAATCCCCAGTGCTGGGCAGTTTCCTTATTTTGAAAGAAAAAAATGAGAAAAAAGGGAACCACAGCAGGTAAGGGCTCTCATCTCAATGGCTTCACCCAGCCAGGTTGCTGCTGGAGATGATCCATTAGACAAAAACACCAAGCTAAGCCTGAATGAGATCAGATCAAGCTGCCTTAAATGTTTCTGGGTGCTGAAATAAACAAATCCACAGAACCCCAGACTGGTTTGGGTTGGGAGGGACCTTAAAGCCCATCCAGTGCCACCCCCTGCCATGGCAGGGACACCTCCCACTGTCCCAGGCTGCTCCCAGCCCTGCCCAGCCTGGCCTTGGGCACTGCCAGGGATCCAGGGGCAGCCACAGCTGCTCTGGGCACCCTGTGCCAGGGCCTGCCCACCCTGCCAGGGAACAATTCCCAATTCCCAATATCCCATCCAGCCCTGCCCTCTGGCACTGGGAGCCATTCCCTGTGTCCTGTCCCTCCATCCCTGTCCCCAGTCCCTCTGCAGCTCTCCTGGAGCCCCTTCAGGCCCTGGCAGGGGCTCTGAGCTCTCCCTGGAGCTTCTCCTCTCCAGGTGAGCACCCCCAGCTCTCCCAGCCTGTTCCTTCAAAAATAAAATCCATTTAAACTAAAATATTCCACCTAAATTCTAAAAAGTGGCATTTGAGGACTAAAATACCAGAGGAATTGGAAGAGTGAAAGGCTGGAAATCACTGTTCAACCAGAATGTGCCAAAATGGGTCAGAGCAGCCCCAACAAAGTAACACCTTTGTGGAGGGGAACAGAAATCTCCTGTGCTCCTTTAGAATCTCCTGCACTCCCATTTACCCAAAGAATTGATTTTGGTGATTTCCTAATTTCTGATTAAAAAAGGAGAGGAGCAGAATTTTCATCTGCTGATGCCAGGGAGGCCGGATGTGGGGTGCTGGAACAGGCTGGAGACTGTCACACAATCTGCCCCATAAAATCATTTACAATTCAAAGTGTTACTCCCTGAATTGCTTTTCTACATATTGGGTGCGTTTAGGGGAGTTTTGTTTAACTAATGCTAATAAATATCCTTTAAATGAAAACGCACACAAGCAGAATGTGGTTTCAGGCCATATGCTCCTCAACTCAAGTTGTAAGCAAAAAGTAAATCATGTGATAATTAAGAAATGTATCAGTCAACATCTCCTAACACGATAACGTGTCAAAAAATAGGAGACCAAGCAGATGTAAAACTGACCTGAGAAATCCATGTTTATCGAGAGGGCTACACTATATTGGGAAAAAAATCCCAACATTTTAACAGTTACAGCAAAACTAAAAAATAACTTAAAGCAATAAAAATGTGAGATGAGATTTCAGACAATTTAAGCACAGGCTTTTTGCCTGATCACTTAAATTCTGATTAGAAACAATTATTCCAATCACTTGGATTTGCATCCATGCTTGGATCAGCTCCCGTGGATGGGATGGGGGCACTGGGACACCCCCAAGCACTGCCACAGCCCTTCAAGGGGGAAAAGGGCTCAATCCATGTATTTATTTATTTATTCAGACACAGCCACCCCCTGTGATTTGCCTCTGAACCCCATCCCAAAGGGAGAGGTCTCTGATTCTGCCTGAGGGTTGCAGGAAGAGCAGACCCCACTCACCCCTCTCCCACAGCACCTTCCCACTGCAGAAGGAAAAGGGCAGAGTTGTTTGTTTACCTGAGGAACAAAAAAGGAAAAAAAACCAAAACCCCCACCCTGCTTCCCCCAAATGCGTTCCCAGAGACAGCTGAGTAATTTTTGTCCAAACACAAACCACAGATTCAATTTTGGAAGGAGCCAGCAGCACCCAGCATGGAAAATTTCACCCCAAATAATTAAAATTTGGCAAAAGAGAAGCAACTGAAAACAGGTCTGACACAGGAATGTGCCATAAAAATAACTGCAGGCCTGCTACCTGTGCTGTCTGGGGTTATTAACTTCAGAGCCACAGAAAATGCAGGAAGTGCTTTTTTTTTTCCCTTTTTTCTCTTCTTTAAACAAAGGGCAAGACACCGGCAGTTTCCTATTTAATTTTTATTAAATAGGAGGGGAAAAAACAGCAGAGCAGCTCCACATCACACCAAAACATCTGCAGAGCACAAGGACCCATAAATGTGCCCGTGCCCCTTTTTAATGTGGATTTCTGCTTCCTCCTGAAGCACAGAGGATGCTGAGGAACCCCAAAGAGGGAAACAAGGCTGAGCCAGGGCTGGCCCAGGCAGAGCCGTGCTCCCAGAACCACGGGATCCTTGAGGCTGGAAAAGCCCTCTGGGATCAGAGTGCAGCGATTCCCCAGCACTGCCAAGGGCAGCACTAACCTCACATCCACACTGGGACATTTCCCTGTCCCCATGTGTCACATCCACACTGGAACCTTTCCCTATCCCCACATGCCACATCCACACTGCGGAACCTTTCCCTGTCCCCACATGCCACATCCACACAAGAACCTTTCCTTGTCCCCAGCCAAGTGCCACATCCACAATGGAACATCTCCCTGTCCCCATGTGTCACATTCACACTGGGACCCTTCCCTGTCCCCACGTGCCACATCCACACTGGGACCTTTCCCTGTCCCCATGTGCCACATCCACACTGGGACATTTCCAGGGAAGGTGACTCCACCACTGCGCCATGCAGCTGTTCCCATGCCTGACCACCCTTTTTATGAGGAAATTCTTCCTAATATCAAACCTACAATTTCCCTGGAGCAATGTAAGGCTGTTTCTTCTGGTTCCCAGAGCCAGGGCAGCCCCTGCCTGAAGGACAAAGATCTCCTCTGCCTTAGGCTGTTGTGGCTCATCCCCTCCTCATCCTTTGCCTTTGCCAATCCATCAAGGCAGCCTCCAAAAGGGATGAATTTTCCACTCAGGAACAAGACAGTTCTTGGGGCTGGAGGAATGTGCTGTCTATTTCCTCAGCTGCAGCTTCCCCTCAAGAAACAACCAAAATAATAATAATAATTAAAAACTATCTGCAAGGAGGAAATGGGAGCTCTCCCTGAGGCATCTGCCCGGTCCCACAGCTGAGCCAAGCCCTGAGTGAGGGTTCCCCAACCCCCAAAATCCACTGTGGGGTCTGCAACCCCCCCATGCTGGCCATGGGGCAACACCTGGGGTGGGGACACTGGTGGCAGCCTCAGAGTCAGAATTCCTTGGGAGCAGCCAGGGGAATCTCACGCTTGTGCTCAGCTGCAGCCTTGTCC